GTATTGTTGAACACCCAGAGTTTAAAGGCCTTCTTGAAGCTGCCCAACTCTCTGAATCAAGGCTTGATATTCCTTCTGCGCGGACTATCCGACGACTTTTAGACAACACTGTCCAGGAAAGGCAACAAAATGTGCTTAGCAAACTTCCAAAAGGAAGCTATCTCTCAGTTGCACTTGACTGCTGGACATCTCCCTTTTCCCAGGCATTTATGGCAATTACTGGATATTTTCTTGATCAAGAATGGAATTACTGCGAGGTCCTTCTTGGTTTTGAGCATCTCCAAGGATCGCATACCGGTGCTCACTTAAGTCAGACTGTGATTCGAATACTCATGGAACATAATATTGATAATCGTGTATTATCAATTACCACAGATAATGCGTCAAATAACAACACCATGATGGTAGGTGTCCAAGAGATGATTCAATCGCAAGCTCTAAGTGGGACTTCTGTCTTCCGAATTCCATGTATTGCGCATGTTATCCAGCTTAGCCTAAAGGATCTACTTGGAAAGATAAAAGCAAATCCAACAAATAAGGAAGCAGAGACTGAGTGGTCTGATTCGCGTACACAGTCACTACAAACTAGCTCTCGGCAGCCTACAAGGAATATTATGGGAACCTTAAAAAGGTAAGTATATCTTCGCGCTCTCTTTATACTTATACTAATATATATTATCCTTAGATTCGAGAGCTCGCTGTCTTTATCAATGCTAGTCCACAGCGCAGGGAAGCTTTTCTTACCCTTCAAACTACTGAGCCTAAGCTTGTTCCGATCCAAGATGTTCGCACACGCTGGAATTCTACCTTTCTGATGCTTAATCGTGCCAGGAAATTACAATCAGTCTTTGATCGGTATTGTATAACATATCAACATATTCAATTTAAGCTAGATGAAGAGGAATGGCGCCAAGTTGAATATTTGCTTCTGATCACTAAGCCTTTCTTTGATTTTACTAGTGTATTATCAAAGACCAGAGATGTTACAGTTCACCATGTCTTCAGTATCTATAATCGGCTATTTAATCATCTTGATGACGTTGAGAAGAAACTGAAACGTAAAGCTGTCCCATGGAAAAGGAGAATGCTTCAGGCACTTCAGTCAGCAAAAAAAAAAAGCTCTCAAAATACTACACTGAAACAGACAATGAGTCATATGGCACAGTCTATGCGATTGCAACAATTCTCTGTCCATCAAAGAAGCTTCGATACTTTGATAATGCGGATTGAGAGAGGAAAAAATGAGAAAGGAGAGGAAGTCGATTTCATGAAGCATTACCGGGAGGTTTTACAGAAGGAGTTTAAGCGATATCAGCAGCAGGTTATCCAGGAAACAGAACCGGTTGATAACCAAGCAATCTTTGATCCTGCTGAAAATGAGCTTGAGCTATTATGTGAATCACAGACAGCTCTACAAGCTGAAGTGGATCAACCGGAGGATGAAATAACACGGTATTTGGCAAAAGGTACATATTCTCTATTTCTATACTATTCTGAAGTTAATTAATTTTATAGGGCTCACAAAAGGTAATCCTCGGGTCTTCTGGAAGGAGCATGAGCACGAGTATCCAGTCCTTGCAAAGATTGCACGAGATATCCTCTCAGTTCCTGCAAGTGGCGCTGGTGTTGAGCGGCTTTTTAATTGTGCTCGTGATGTCTGTCACTATCGTCGGGGACAGTTAAAGCCAGGCACAATTAAAGATCTAATGCTCCATCTCTTCTCATCTAAGTTTGATCTTGAACAAAGCGAGCTAGAGATGATTAAAGAGTATCTCTCTGTCGGAGAGGCTGCTATGCTTGATCAGACAAGACAGCCTGTTCCATCGCTTAATGAACTCGAACCAATTAGTGATAATGAAGAAGAGGGTTGCGAAGCAGAGGATTTATCTGAGGATGATACAGATGAATCTGATAACGAGGCAGAAGAAGGGTTATCTACCACGCAGCCTGTAGCTCAAACTAAGCAGGTACAACGGAAGCGGTGCCGAAGTAACACCTCTGAGGCTATAGATGATGCTGATAATGGTCTCCCACTTCCCGATATGCCAATTGAGAAGACGCAGGCGCGGTCAGGGAGGGTTCGGAAGAGGCCTAAGCTACCTGAGGGATTTGAGATTGATAAGCTGTAATATTAGAGACTTAGAAGAGAAATCGAATTTGGTCTAAAAGTGTATTCTAAAGGTTTCAAATTAAGAGATATAGGTAATCTATTACATACTAGATACTCCAAAAATACTGCGAAAAGTGCACAATTTATGCATTCACTGGAAAGTCACGAGTTTCAGCATGTTTGTAATGTTTACATATCCATGGATAACCGCAAAACCGCGGTTCTCCAAAGTGAAAACCGCAACCGCCCACAGTGCGGTTTGCGGTTTTAAATCAGCCCCAAAACCGCAAATTTGCGGTTGCGGTTTTGGTTATCCGCGGTTGTCCATGGTTTTGCCGCAGTCTAGGCTCTATCTTCTCTCCTATATAAACACTCCCTTTCGCACTGTAGCGCCCCATTCAGCTCGTTACCAACCCCTATGCATAACAGTTCTAATTGCTTACCCTAATAGTAACCCGCTGAAAGGAGCACTATGGCACCTCGACGCGTGCAGCGTGCTGGCTCCCAAGTCACCCGAAACACCAAGAATTCTGTTAACCCTGTCTTAGAGAATACCGCATCTATCCAAGCACAACCTGATGCTTCGATGAATCCGGGCCTAGCTAAAAAATAGTTAAGGAAACAGCTGTGTTGCAAGGTAATAGCCCTTAAAAAGGGGCTACTAGGTCTACAATAACAAACAATTCTTTATCAGATAATAAATTTGCCGAACTCCGGGACTAAATACACTAATAAAAGCAGGAACTTAAAAAATTACACATGGAAAATAAAAGGAGGGTATTATAAAAGCTTATTAATTATAAAAAATATATCTAAGAAAACTAAAGTGCAATAATTTTACAGCCAGAATCTAATATAAGTATACCTAACTATAGAATACTATAAGAAACTATACCCCAGCCTATGCCAGAGCCTATATATATATTAAAACTGCTAGTACCCCCAGCATATATCTTAGAATATATAAAAAAAAAATATACAGGAATATTAGATATTTATTACACGCATGGAAACCTATTTTGAACAAAATCGCTACTACTTTACTAATAATATAATAAAAAGTGGTGGAAGGTACAGTACATCTATGTATAATATTTATCCGCCTATAAAGGTAACACAAGAAGGAAGTTACTAATAAACCTACCTAGGAGGACTTTCGCAAATTTTTACTACGCTAATTAAACAACCCTATTAACCTGTAAAAAGATGCGAGCCAATACTACTATAATACTAAATAACAGGATTACTAAAACATGCGGGAATTTGCAGCTTACCTTAACTAATAAAAAGTTTAGCTCCCAGAAGCATACACAGAAAAAATAATAAAAGGATCACCTCTAGACAAGAGTTAAGCAAGACCTGCGATATAAAAGCGCTTAAATACCCTAATAAACTAAAGATATATAAAGGCTATATTACCTACCTTTAAATAATTAAAGATTCCATACCGGGTCGACGCAAGGAAATATCGCAAGCAAAGAATAAAAAAGCCAATATAGCTTAGCTATGCAACACCGGATAATAACCCCAGGCAACACGGAAAGACAACAACCTTCCAGTTAACAGGGCCTAAACAAGCTATGGAGAGGTAATAATCGCGCCTTTAAAAAAAAAACTCTCTAATAGGTCCCAAGGTTATAAGCAATAATAGTTATATAACCCTAATATTAAATACTATATCTACAGAGAAAAGGGATATATTATACCTTAATATCCCAAACATGCAAGAAGAGACGACAACCAGGTAAAAAAAAACTAGGTGGCCTAGTAATACAAGCAGCTGCGGCTTTAGGCCTAGAGGAAGAAAAAATCTAAAAGATAATACTATTAAAACTATAATTAAGCTGTAAGCACAAGAGCGCACTATTCTAACTTGTGTGTTAATTAACTCGGGGTATTAAGCCTTTTTTTATTAGCTAAAGGTTCGCAGATGCGCACCTCCCGGAGCCTGTAATAGGCCTGTAGAGAATAGTGGCCCTAAATAGTCACTGTATTTGTTACTACGGATACTACAGGCTAAGGGTAACTACCCAAGATTACCACGGTGTTTGTAGAACGATTGAAAGAATATTTAATATAGTTAATATAAACTATTATAATATAATTCTAGGATACCCTTGGTAAAAGGCGAACCCAAACATCGACTGGGAACTAGGAACATGGGAATACCGGAAAATACCTCCGGAGAAAAAAGTTAAGATAATTAACAAAGTAGAGGTAAATTACACTTTAAAAAAAAAAAAAAAAAAAAAAAAAACAAGTCTACACAGTGTACATATCCATAACTAAAAATAACTAGGTTAAAATCCGTGTGGGTTCTGCAACAATTAGTAAAAAAAATACAAATACCTGTAATTTATAAAAAGTTTAAAAATGTCTTTTTTAAAAAAAATACAGGGATTTTACCTATGCATGCAGACCACAACCATGTAATTAATATATAACTAGGAAAAAAACCCCTATACTAACTAATTTACCCCTTGTCTGAAAGTAAGCTCGCAGTTCTACGCAGATATATTAAAGCAGCGCTAGAAAAGGGATAGATTTATTTTTAAAAAGCCCAGCTAGCGCACCTATTATTTTTATACTAAAGTCCAATGGAACACTGCGACTCTGTGTAAATTACCGCGGTTTAAATAAAATTACTGTTAAAAATTATTACCCCTTACCTGTCAAGGGCTAAACCTCTATAACCTAATAACTAGGGTGGATACAAAAGGAATCGTCGAAGAGGAAAGAGAAGAGGAAACAGCGATGAGACGATTGCGAAGTAAGGGGGAAGTCACATGATAGAGTGTACTAATCAATATACTAATCATGTGGCAGGCGAGGAGAAAGGAAACACGAGGGCTGAGGGCCCGAGTAGGCTGAGGGGCTCTAGCCCCTTACACTACCCCCCCTTCCTATATAAGGCCTCCGAAGGAGGCCTAATAGCGAGGCGGGTTGCTGGCGCGGGCTGTAAGCTTTTCGGAGGTTTCTCGGAAGTATCAGACAAAGTAGAGCGGGCATCGCAGTCTGCGATCCAATGATCATTAGAACCGCAGTAAAGGCATAAATTATTCGCAAGTCGGAAACGGCGGCGGTCAGAGGTGGTGGATTCATGAGAAGAATCAGATAAAACAGGCGAAGCAGCTCGGGCTACTCTCACAGAGCCAACATGAACAGGATTGGGGTTTATTTTAACTGAGTTGACTCGGACCGGATCAGTATCCATTGGGTCTGTATTCGGGGTCAAAGCTGGTTTCGGGGCTGATTTTGGACTAGGACGGGTACGCCGATCGGTACTCTGGACAAGTTCAATATATTCATTATAGGGAAGATCAAAGAGAGAATTATTCGAGTCTTCTAGTATTCGACGGAGATTAGGCCGTAGCCCCCGGTGTAGCGTGGTAACACGTGATATATCTGGCCATGAGTTTACATTGGCTTCATATGAAAGTCGTTCAAAACGAGCAAGGTAGGCGATAAGCGATTCGTCATCCCTCTGTTGTATAGAAGTAAAGCGCTGAATAGCCTCCTGCTGTTCCCGTGGGTTATGGCATAGACGCTGAAAAAAAGAGAAAATAACTTCAGGATCCCATAGCTGGTTTTCTTCGGCAGATTGGCGGAGGTGCAGGACAGAAGCTTGCTGAGACTGTTCTAGTCGATCCCATACATAGTCAAAAGCATCAGCTCCTACGAGCTGGTCTGATCGAAGTTTTGCTTTAATTGACGGGAGCCATGTGCGAAGCGTGTATGGTTTACCGTTAAAGCGAGGCGGATCTGGCAGGCGGGATCTGGGTGTCTGGACGGAAAGAAGCTGCGTACGAAGCTGGTGGACATCTGTTCGGGAAGCATCAAGGTCCGCACGTAGTTGCTGTATTTCATTACGCTGGTTTTGAATATCAAGGCGCTGGTTTTGGAGCTCTTGCTGGAGCTGCTGCACAAGCAGGAGGAGTGGATTCGGGTCGGACATCGTAAAGATATTCCCATAGACTGGCGGACAGGCAGGCAAGCGGGCGGGCGAGCAGGCAGGCAGGCGAGCGGGCGGACAAGCGGGCAGGCGAGCGGGCAGACAGGCAGACAAGGACGATTCCTAATGTCAAGGGCTAAACCTCTATAACCTAATAACTAGGGTGGATACAAAAGGAATCGTCGAAGAGGAAAGAGAAGAGGAAACAGCGATGAGACGATTGCGAAGTAAGGGGGGGGAAGTCACATGATAGAGTGTACTAATCAATATACTAATCATGTGGCAGGCGAGGAGAAAGGAAACACGAGGGCTGAGGGCCCGAGTAGGCTGAGGGGCTCTAGCCCCTTACATTACCACTTGTTAGCGAGATTATAGATTACTTGGCTGGTACTAAGATATATACTAAACTTAACCTAAGAAACACATATCACTGTATTTAAATTAAAAAGGGGGATAAATAGAAAACTATATTTTATATAAAATATAGTTACTTTAAATATACTTATAAAGAATTGCGGTTTGCTATTTCGCTGCCTTTTTCGGCAGCAGGTGACGCCAAAAATGGCCGCCTTTCAGCAACTTCCCTCCGCCACGCTCCCGCCTCCTTCGACCACGCACCAGCTCACTCACCGCTTCTGCCTCAGGCTGCCATTTCGTGGGCGCTTACATCCTTTGTTCCCTGAGGGCTCATCAATCGCTTCACCGTCGCTGTCTGCACCCCTACGGGGGCGCCGAAAATGGTCTCCTTCAGCACCCCGCCCGCGACACTCTGGCCAGTACCCAGCCGCCATGGCTATAAATGTCCTCTCCCCAACTATCCTTCGTCCAACGTTCTGTCCTCTTTTCGACTCAAGCACCACTCCAGAGCTCTCCCTCTTATTGTCCCTCCGTGCTACCTTCTATTAGTCGTTCATTAAAACGTCTCGAGCTCCTTGGCAGTTCCTTCGCACGGTCGGCGCAATTCCCTGGCCATGCATCGTCGGAGGCCCAATGTCAGCAACCACGGAATTACAAGCGAATCCTCTTGTACCTCTCCCATCGATACCGACCATGATAGACCGTTCGAGCCCGACTCCTCTGAGACCGATCTCACCGAGCCGGAGTGTTCCCCCCCAGCGACTCGAAAGATTACTCGGAAGAAGCCAAATCCAAGCACTGGAACACAACCGTCACAAGCAGACCCGTCGAATGTGGAACGTGTCCACCAGGCCCGATATCAAGTCCCAGGTGATGACACGGATGAGGACCTGGCCCAGGTGCCGGAGGATTACGGCCGATCCAACAAAACAAAGAAGCTGAACCTTCGACTGAAAGAGCGTTGGGCTTGGTAAGTGACCAGGATACTGTTGAAAGCTTACAGCGAGTTACTATCAACTGACCGGCATGCCTCATCTCAGGTTCTGCCAAATCAAAGCAATGGAGCCGTCCGCCGATCGAAAGTGGGGTGATGCGGAGGATGCACTGCGTGAGGCGTCTCCAAATGACATGCATCGATTTCTGAATTGGTGTCTGAAGCTGGAATACAATCCCGATGGTCGCCGTCTGAAAGGCTATGGGAAGGCCAGCTCCCTTGATGCGGATTGGAAGTACTTTCGAATTTACTACATACGGGTTACTAAACATGAGATGAGCAAAGAGATGGGCGAGGCAGTTCGCACGGTTTGTTTCTTGAGCCCCCTATCGTCTCCCAAGGCTTGCTCTGATGAAAATGGACAGGGCATGAGATACTTGGTTGATAAACGCGGCCTTGACAAACAACCGCGGGCAAATGTCCCAGTATACATCGAAGATATGATCCCATTCAACGAGACAATCCTTCAAACCCGGGAAAAGCGATTCTACTTGGGGTTTCAGCGGATTATTCTGTGTCTATACAACACTATTGGGCTATTTACCATCAACCGGAAACAGGCAATACTTGATCTTCAGTTCAAGCATCTACAATTATCGCTCCAGCAGGATCCGCACGGAGGACCTCCAGTGCCGATGATAGAACTCGAGCCCCAGTTTGTGAAAAGCGTCCTGGGCATGTCGAAGCTGTAGGTGGCACCCGGTGCCATACACCTACCCATCCCATGGCTTGTCTGCTACAATCGGACTAACTGATTAATTAGCAACACGTTCGCGCTACCTGAAATCGTCTACGGCGTATCACTTGTCTTCAGCCCGCATGTCCTGCTCTTCAGTATATTATTTTACGTCCATGCGTTTGAAGCGCCTCACTTGACCTCGATGGAAGACCTCCGGAGACTGCTTGTTGAGGGTGGCCGACAGGAAATGCCACTCCCCTTGAAAAAAGAGATGGATAATTACTATGTCTTCCCGAAGGTCGATGTGATCTGTGGTCAGCCCCGTATTTTGTGGGAGACGCCCATGAATGGAAGCACACTCGACGCACAGCTCAGGACATTCAGTGAGATACACGGCTTCCTTAATCATTTTTTCTCTCACCAATTCCGATACGGAGGAGGTGATTTACTTGACAAAAGTGGTAGGTGAACTATAAATCCCCGAAGTTCTCTTCTCTAAATGGCGGGCAGACTAAGTCTTTTGTCCAGGTTTCGTCAGTGAAGCACAACGCAATGTGATCATGGCCCACGCCACTAGCAGAACGTTTATTAAACACTATCGTCCCCGTCGACATACTGGCTTACAGGAGATCATGTGCGGCCTCAATCCTGATGAAGAGTTCTCAAAGGCTGTGACCCGGATGAGCCGTTGGATTGATCGGCGGCGACCACGATACCTGAGTGACGCTGACCGGACATTAGTGGAGAAGGACCCGGAACTGCAATCGGCCATGCGCTGGCAATTTGAGTTGGAGACTCAGTGCGGCGACCGCTCTCATGACCCAGCGTTGCGAGCGATGCTGGAGGACCAGAAGCGTCAAGTCCACAATCTGCGTCGGCGTCTGCAGGACAAACGGCGAAAGGAGATGCGCCGTGATTTCAGTCGGAAACAGGCGGTGATTGACATTGAAAGACAGCTGACCGGTGGAGCTGTCAGTGACGAGCCCGCGCGAGAGGTATTACGGAAGGAGTTTGCAATGCCATCGGAGCAGATTCTTCTCGTGGAGACGTTCTTTACTTGGCCCACCACCGATTCATTGGAAGATGAGTGGACACGGCGTAACAAAGCTGTTGCTGCTGGAATACAATATTGCGGCTTTCAGGAGGGTGGGCCCCTTCGGGGACGACCGAAGCGCTCTGCTCCGTCTGACAATAACGTTGTAGTTCCATCTCCACCAGCTCGAAAGAAAAAGGCTGATGCGCAGCCGACTGCGTCGTGGGAGAAGGAACGTACCTCTGGCAGGAAACATATCCCGAATGCAGAGCAAACATTCGCATGCTTCCAATGCCCCAAGACATACTCTGACTATAATGGAGTGAAGAGGCATTTCAGAACATCACATTTGATGGACCGGAAATGTAATTTTTGCGATCTGTCCGTCTTGCACGAGATGCACTTGCGGAGGCATGCTGAGGGTGTCCATGGCCTTCGAACATGAGCGTCAGATTCTACTTTTCCAATCTTCGGTTCCCTTGCGCCATTTATGTCTTTCTCTCTTTGGACACAATTGGTGGAGCTATGGTTGGGTTGGTGGCTGTTTCATTAGAGCGTACCTTATTTGTCGCGATTATTTAGAGCTCCCGTAACAGAATGTACTCGTTCCTCTTATGTCCAGTAGTGACGATTGAATAACCTCCTGACCATGTCAAGAACAAATCGAAGCGTGGTACCTCTTTACGTCTGTGAGTGACAAAGACACTAGTAACATAGAAGTTGTAGTCATTCTTCAAACGTATACTGACTACATAAGGTGCATTTTAAATTTATGTCAGCAGTAGGTGTCGTTTACTATTCTTCTGTATTATCCAAGGAGCCAAGAGGGCAATAGTTGGTCAATGATTAAGTCTTGGAGAGACGCCGTGTAAAGGGCTGGAGCCCGTTTGACTTCTCGGGCCTATGGTCCCCGTTGTCCCCGTTGACCCTGTTGACCCCGTCGGCCCCATTGGCCCCCGAAGACCCACATCACGTGACTTTCACCTCATTTGTTTACTGTGCATTTTCCCCTTCCTTTCTTCCCTCCTTCAACGATTCCTTTTTGTACATAGCCTATCTTATAGGTTCTACGGGTTCAGCCCTTGACACGCCGTTACTATAGCCTCATCTTCGAAGCCTATATGCGCGCCTAATATCGAGACAATCTTTGATGACTTCACAATGTTCTTCCCAAACAGGCCTCGGACTTACCCTCCATGGGTGAGCAAATCTGGAACCTCCACCCGCTGAGGGTTACCCTTACTTACCCGCCAAGACTAGATACTAACCTTATTAGGATGGATAAAATAAAGTAACCTTTTTTCGATGTATAAAAGTGATGATTCATCTAAAAATATGAGTATAAGTCACGTGTTTGTGCTGTTTGTCCTATTTGTCCACCCGTTGAGGGTCACCCGCGGGTGAGTCCGAGGCCTATTCCCAAAGACTGGTAGTTAGGCTGTTGAGTGCTTGGTTTTGTTTATTTTTAATTTTTTTTGTCGCTCGTCGTTCATCATATCACTCTAAAAGTAACTGGAGAAGAGAAGAGAAGAAAAGAAATAATGGAAGGAAAAAGAAGTTTTCTGTTACCGTTGATCTGACCACGTAGCCTGGATAATGGTGATTGGAGAAGTTTGAGGGATGATCTTCAGTCCTTATAATTAAAACGTGTGTGGCCGCGTATATAAAACGCTAGAAAAATAGAGATTAGGGAATTCACAGGGATGATCTTCAGTCCTGATAATTAAAATGTGCTGGGCCACGTACATGAAACCCTTTAGCGTAGAAAGATTAGAGCACACAGATAATGATTGGTGGGGATGTCTCCCAGTTATCACCCTGGGTGCTATATACACACCTGGGTGCTATATACGCACCCTGGGTGATAAATGGCCGCCGCAACCAAGTATAACGAACTACCCGTCCAACATAAGTCAGCAATTCGTCCGAGGTCGGATCTGGTCCTCCACCAAATAAGGCATCGTCTCTTTAATACAGTAGATAGAAAGGTATTTTGTGCTGCTATTCATCACCCTCATCACCTCAGTCATCACCCTTCATGTATTAATTGCGAGATTTCGTGCACCCTAAGGGTGTCAAGGTCTTTCTCGCCTTAAATTCTTAAAGCCAGACGCACCTGTATGTTTCCCAAGTCTCCTTTTCCCTCTCCGGATCCGTTGTACAAACTCACATAATGGCTCCAGGAACAAGAACCATCCAGCGCCGCCGATCAGATAGCGCCAAGTCAAAATGTCAACAACGGAACCGACGGAAGAACCACCTGTTCCTGAAAGCTTTTGAGTACTGTCAGGAGTGTGACGCAGATGTCTCTTTAATAATTAGGTTGCGACATAACGGCCAAATAGTCTTTTTTAATTCTGACGGCCGCTGGCCTCCTCCAGAGGAGCAATTAGTAAGTATTTGTTAATCACAGTATTAATTGCAGTCTAATCGATTTCAGGCCTCACACTATCCGAAGCCCAGGCAGGTTACTTACCATGAACTAGCTGCTCAATACAAATTCTAAGATTTTACACGAGGCCAGATTCTAGAATATCTGGAGTTATGGCGCAGCCACGGAGGTACGACGGCTGTATGTGGTGGGGGAGGGAAAAAAAAAAAAAAAAAAAAAAAAAAAATTAAAGGCCCGCCCTGAGGTCAACTGAGCGTCTTGGACAAAATAGTTTTTACAGTGGCGGCCCGGCCGGGAGAAGGGGGGGGGATTGGAGACAGCAGAATGTTGGATTTGACACCACCTTGATTTCAGTTGTTCCCGTGGAGGTTCTTTAAGGAGCAATAGAGAATCTGAATGACCTTTCATGTTGATATTTTGAATTATGGCTTTCACCCAAGGCGGATTTAGAATTGCAGTAAATTTAGCAAAGATTACCTCTATTCTAATGTTTTCCTATGGACGGATACTGTAGAGACGTCACAGCGGTCATGGAAGGACTGCGAAATTATTACTACGTTCTACTACGAGACCTGAGAAAATGAAAGCTGGTGGAAAATGAGAGTTGGTGGAAAATAAGAGCTGGTGGAAAATAAGAGCTGGTGGAAAATAAGAGCTGGTGGAAAATAAGAGCTAGTGGAAACTGACAGCTGGTGGAAACTGACAGCTGGTGGAAACTGACAGCTGGTGGAAACTGCGAGCTGGTGGAAACTAACAGCTGGTGGAAAATGAGAGTTGGTAGAACTGACAGCTGGTGGAAACTAAGAGCTGGTGGGAAACAACAACTGGTGGAAGACAATACACATTGATACCAAGTCCGTCTGCCTGGTGGAGAACCTAATGCCACGATCAAGAGAAGACCGCCGCCTTATCACAAAGTTAATGGACAGGGGCAAACTGTTTCCTTCTGTTACCGACGGCGACCGCAGAACCACCATACTCAACCATCTTCTCAGCACAAATGGCAGAATTCTGAGCCTGCGCTCGTTGCTTCAAGATACTCTGGTTCTCGAGCCATGTGCAAAAGCCCTACAACAACTTGTTAATCCTGGTTGTAAAGACTTGAAGAATGCACTCATCCGGACGATCGATGGCGGCTATATGGTGTGGCCTGTGCAAGTTACCGAAAATTCTATTAAGAGTTTAACTGCGGAGCCGAATAGCTCGCCGCTGTTGTCTCAAGCAAACTATGCGACTATTGCTTATGTCCAACTCTGGCTCTTTGCAATGCGCCACGTCGAAAATCTCTCTGATATAAACCTTACAGGCTCCCAGCGCGAGCGCAATAACGAGACGCATGTATACCGAGAAACACTACAAGAGTCTAGTTATTAACTTGCTATCCTAGCCGAGGAATTGGGATTCACGTCTGATCAGATCAACTCTTTTTGTACAGAAGTCGTGACGAAGCCCGGTGCCCGAGCTTTTTTGGTTGGTCGACGTCCGGTAGACCTCTTCAGTTACGATCCCCACTGGGAGGAAGGTGCTTCTAATAGAATAGTGCATCTTCTAAAGATTCCGAGAAAGAAGTCTTCCTACGAGATAACTATTCCGCGGTTTACCACAGAGGATAGTGGCCAACGTCCCATTAAGCGTTGTGGACTGCCAGCAAGAAAAACGTATAAAAAGGACCACCGGTTCTTGTTTGTGCCACAGTTTTATAGTCCAGATTAGCCTGAAGGGGATTGTCCAACCTTATTTGCGATCTCGAGAGATATGATATTCTGTTTCTTCGGTCGGAATTTATTTCCCCGTGGGTTTCATTTGCCCTGGTGGGAGACGGCGACAGAGCTATCTGCCATCCAAACCCGGCCTGGTGCCGAGCCCTTATCCCCAGTCTCACTTTACTCTCATCCTCCTGGGACACCGCTGCATAACAGCGAGGACTTGGTAGTCGAGGACCTGGAGGTGCAAGGGGATGGGAAAACACCCTACCCTCCCCGCGACACAAATCCTCAGGCACTGATCTTACGTCCACCCATAGCAGCGGGGTTTAAAGACAGCAGCTGTGTCGCCCCACTAAACCATCTTACATATATCTTACATCACCGGGGCGCTGAAGAGATTCTGACTACGTGGTACCACTCCAACAACACATCTCTCGCGGTATTCTACTTTTTCAAGACACGGCAGTATTGTAAAACCCAAATTGGCGGGCCGGGTTTACTCCAGCGCATTAGTGATTTCGTGGATCCAATCTCAAATAATCATTACTTCGCTGACCTTAATAACGGTTTAATTAGTTCAGGTAATGTCGCCGACCATGTTCAATATCACATGCAGGAGTCTCCACTTCTTCTTGTCTACACAGACCTTGAACACAATCAGCCCCCTGGTTTCAGCTTTTGGGACTACGTCTGCTCTTTTGACGCTCAAACTGGAAAAAGGCACGCAGTGGATGATGGAAGAACTCACTCAATCCAGAGGGGAAAAAGGCGCGTCTTAGAACCCCTCCGTAGTACCAGTTCAGAAAGTAAATACTAGTCTAACATTCGGCTGTCGAGAATTCAAAAAGATGTGGACTACTCTATTTCTAATCAGGTTACCAATGATATGGTCGCTCTTTCACAGCTCTGCGAGCCAAATCGGCGGGGCAACCGAGTAAATTGGGATAATAGATAATAATAAAATTAAGAAGTCGGAAGAACCCTTACCTCCTAAAAAAGAACCCCTGGAATGTCCAACGGACGTTTGTATTATCTGTTACGGCCTATCACGATGTTCAGTATCTAATCCTCCTCCCCATAAATTTCTCTCCAAGCGAAAAGATTCTCTCCGTCTCCATCTTATCGACTCTCATCTCGCCCATGCGCACGACGGGATCAGCTGCACCTGGACAGCCTGCCGCGTCACAACTGTCTGTTACCATTTCGAACCGTGCATCTGGATGACGGTCACTGCAACTATGCAATAAACCACTCGACTATGAAATACATTGTGGAGACAGGTCGAGGGCAAGCACCGCTTGTGCATCTGATTTCTTAAATATCTTTGGGAATTCCAACTTGTTCATGTTCATTGATAATATTGATGGATACTATTTTTTTGCTGTTTTAATCATCCTCTTATCTGTCCTGCAGGTATAGTTCAATGAAATAGATTGTGTTTGTGAAAGATACCCCAAATATCCCCTGTATAAGAAACCCAAGGTTTCCTACGAACGTCACCAATTACGTTAGGAATAATGGCTTAACTTAAAGAGGTTTTACGAACATGAACCATAACTACGGAGTAGAGGTGGTTATAATACCCACACTGAGGGCCCCACTTTACTGGGTGACAAATGCAATGAACCAATGAAAGCCTATTTATGATTACGGAGAAGCTTGGCAGGCACGCTGCTAGGGATAGCCTGTCCAGTAGTTATCCCTACCTGAAGGCAAGCCTGAGGCGCTTCACCAACCAAGTCAAGCCCCAAGGCCACAATGAGGAAGGTGCTGACGCCACACCTTAAACGGCCAATCAAATCGGTGCCTATGAACATGGGGTAATTATTGCCCCGAAACACGACCGATCATGCCGTGAAACGATTGAACGAAAGTAAGAGGGAAATAGTTACTGCCCCCACTTCCTCTACTTCTCTCGGTGTCACAGTAGGTACGCCGATCTAACATATCGTTCAATATAATGGTACATCTAGGGACAGATCATGGAAGAACATATATCCAGGGCTGGATATTATTTCTGTTTATATAGTCTGCAAACGCATGTTTTTCCATATGGATTGGTATTCCGTAGGCAAGTAGTCTGCATACGCATGTTTTTCTGCTTGCGGATTGGGACTCCATAAGCATAAAGTCTGCATATGCACGTTTTTCTGCGTATGGATTGGTATTCCGTAGGCATAAAGCCTGCATTCGCATGTTTTTTTGCGTATGGATTGGGATTCCATATGCATAAAGTCTGCATATGGATTGGTATTCCGTATGCAAAAAGTCTGCATACGCATGTGTTTGTGCGTATGGATTGGGATTCCATATGTATAAAGTCTGTATATGGATTGGTATTCCGTAGGCAAGTAGTCTGCATACGCATGTTTTTCCGCATGGATTGGTATTCCATAGGCATGTAGTCTGCGTATGCATTATTCATTCTCCTAAGAGACCTGGGTTTGGCGATGGACTTTGGACGGTCAGCCGCCACCAAAATATGTCGCATCCTACTTAAGCCATATAAAGGTGAATTTTCCAAGGCTTTAGACTCGAGTACAATTTTCTAAATTTTCTTTCCATATTATTATAAATACCCTAGAGATATACTTAGAATGGCCAAGGAAAATCCGTGGCCGCCAGTCCAACAACTCTAAGGCAAAACAGCAACAGCATTATCGACGAGGAGGAACTTTGTTCCGGAAGGCGTTTGAATTCTGCCAGGAGTGCAACGCAGATGTCTCGATGCTGGTCCGGCTAAAGGATAACAGCCAGATATACGTGTTTAATTCAAATGACCGATGGGCCCCTACCCAAGAAGAATTAGTAAGGTCATGATAAAGTTTTCTAAACTACATAGACTAATAAACTTTTAGTCACTTTACTACCCCACGCCCCTATGGATAACCTGGCAAGAGCTGGCGGCGAAGTATGACTTATAACTAAAAGCAGGTGGATTGTCAGGGGCTGAACCCGTAGAACCTATATATTAGGCTATGTACAAAAAGGAATCCTTGAAGGGAAGAAAAGGGAAAAGGACAGGTAAACAAATATAAACACAAGTCACGTGGTGTGGGTCATCGAGGGCCAATGGGGACAATAGGAACAGTAGGGACAGTAGGGACTACAGGGACAATAGGAACAATAGTGACCATAGGGACCATAGGGACCATAGGCCCGAGAAGTCAAACGGGCCCCAGCCCTTTACATTCCGCCATGAACAAGCGTTTATAATAATACTTTTATAGTCAGACCTTTATATGAAGTAAATCAACATGGAAAGCTTGGCTTAGAAGGCCTCTTTTAAGAGGGAAACCTTCTTGTGAGATTCCTCTTGTGAAGAAATTAGCCATGTGAGGGTCCCCATAAAAGCGGAGGCAAGATAAGAGAGGATATATCATGTGAAACTGCTTATCAGGTGATATACCTTCTAGAACATTTGTTTCATTCCCTATCCAATCATAATATATGGGTATATGGTAAGCACACTGGTCTTGTTGGGCGCAGCTGCAGGTCCACTCTGCTTGGCAATCCGCACAGTAAGAAAGGAATTTCCTATTGGTGGCTGTGGAAAACTCCAGAGTAGAATTCCATCGTCCAATACTTAGCCCTGCCGCAGCGGTAGTCCCACTGCCTCCAGGAGGATGGCTGCGGAGCCACTGCGGCACTAAGTTTTCATTAGCTTCCGCAGCCGGGTCAGAATCCCTGTCCATCCAGTAATTATTTGTCAAAGATGGCCGTTGGTGGACCGGAATCATGTGACTAGATCGGGGTAAATCCCCCTCATGGAGCACACAACAAAAATAATAATCAAGAAGATAATCAAGAAGAGCCCAACCAGCTCAATTTATTTAAATAAGACCTTTTCACCAATCGTACTCTATTTCCTCTTCGGGACTAGCCGAATATCTGACATTATTTTGACCAGCCTGAGGCGCTAGCACTGCAGGCCCACGGTGGATCCCGCAGTGACCCCACGGCACTCTGACGAGTGATCTCTCCATATAGGGAGCCGGACTGGACACCAGTATCTAAAAATCTATTAGTCTCGTTTAGAAAACTTCATCACCTGCTAATTGTTCTTGGGAAGAAATCCATCGTTTGTTCGAATTAAACACGTAATCTGGCCATTATCTTTCAGCCGGACCAGCATCGAGATATCCGTGTTGCACTCCTGGCAGAATTCAAAGCCTTCCTGAACAAGGCAAGTAACCATAGCTACCACACTGCTGTCAGGTGTCACAGGACTTAACCTGTCCTTGGACAGTTTTCCATGGACAGATACAGCTCTAAGACTATCTAATCCTATTTCCTATTCGGGACTGTCCGAATATCTGACATTTCCTTTGAATTAGCCGCCGCCGAGGGCGAGTAACCATGGCTACTGCATTAAGACCAGGTGTTTCAGGTCTCAGCCTGTCCTTGGACAGATACATTCCTTGGACAGTCGCCCTTGGACAGTTGTCCTTGGACAGATACAGTCCTTGGACAGATATAGTCCTTGGACAGATATGGTCCTTGGACAAATACAGTCCATAGACAGATGCAGTCCATACGAAGTCGGTCAGATGCCCGTGGCTCCTGGACGACCAAGGACTAACGTTTGAGAACCTCTTATTATAGGTATTGGAGAGATCTTGCGCATCACGATATCCCCCCCTTTGCATATGGGGCAACAGAAATAAAGCCAATCACATCTCACTGTCAGATCAGAGTATCGCAGGGGCTACGAGCCGAAGGCAGCAACGCATGCTTTGCCCATCCATGTTCCACCGGAAAAGGGGGATGAGGCGGTTGCCTTCCAATTCCAGCTGAACGATGAGGCCTGGTACGCCAGGGTCCCGAAATCATCGCCACACAAGCTACGCCCACTGCGGGAAGATTGTCCAAGTTGGACTGTAAGTCTCCTAACGGATCCCGGGGGAGAATGCGAGCTTCCGCTTTACAGATATACTGAATCTGAGCATCAGTAAATGACACATTCTTGTCGCCAAATTTGCACGACTGTAACAATCTGGAGATTGTCTGTTCTTGCTGTGAGCCACGGGCTAACCCTGGGGGAAAGTTAGCAGAATGAGACCAAAGCTTTATTATATTAGCGCCGGGCGCCACCATTTTCGGAGACCACGATTTTCGGAGGCCACGATTCTTGGAGGCCACATTTTCAGAAGGGTGTGTGATCACAGTACAAGCCCTATATCCTTAGTCATGCTTCTCACATCGAACGGCGTGAATATTCAAAATTTTGTTTGGAATGCTTCCGACATTGACCCGATCGAAAGTCACCACATTTTTTTACAGGGCTTTCAAGGGGGTTCGAATCGGATTGGCACTCGGCCTACAGCGTAACGGACCCGGGGTATGACAGACCTAGGTTAACTTTGAAATGGATTGAATAATCTAGTTTAATGATACACCTGGATCCATGGTTAAATACAAACCAGTCCTCCTCCGAGATTTATTATAACTGTCTAACCTAATGCACTTTAGTCGGACTCCAGGTCTTCCGTTTCGATTGTCAGGGGCTGAACCGGTTGAACCTATAAGATAGGCTATGTACAAAAAGGAATCGTTGAAGAAGGGAAGAAAGGAAGAGGTAAATGAGCAGTAAACAAACAAGGTGGAGAATCACGTGACATGTCGACCGATGGGTCAAAGGTGCCAACAGGGTCAAAAGGGACAGTAGGGACAATAGGGACAATAGGGACAGTGGCCCGAGAGGTCAAATGGGCTCCAGCCCTTTACGTCGATCGTCTGTTGATCCGCCAACAAGTCTTGGTCTCATAAACTGATGGCGTCCTGATCAGTTATCTGGCTTGGGGTTGGATAATAGGAGTCCTAAGGAATCAGCCACTGGAGCACATATGCATGTCTAGGTAGTATACCAATTGTGACCCTACGAATGCCCAAAATCCCGAAGCATCCGCGGAAAATATATAAACTCGACCTGTCTCCCTGATACGTATGCCTAAACAAACATCGGCGCCGCACATCCGGCTATATTCGGATGATTTCTTTACCAGACTGGTTCTGCGACGGTCTCGTTTCTGGCGGACGGACTTCCTGCTTGTCCTCGAGTGCTTTGGTTGTTTCGGATGCGGCATACCTCCTTTGGTCTGCAGCATGGTTACTCATGCGGTGAAGTTACTTTATATTTTGAGCCTCTTGGGTCAAACTAACTATCTGAAAGGAAGATGTCCGTATTTATATTAGAAAAAGTTAAGGAAGTCTACATATGTGCAAAAGACCAACGATCTATTATATTAGTGCTGAGGGCCACAATTCTTTGTTCAGATGCCACACTTTCGGATTTAGTGGGTAAAAGACGTTTTCTATTTTGCACGTGCAAAATCCGCTTTTCAGGGAACAACGTGGCGTTGCCGCTCAGCAGACCCAAATAGCATGGTTCATATAAATGTTCCAAATTAATACTTTAGGAAATAACTAACATTTTCGGGAGTAATGGCTAATCGAAGGGTTACTAGTAAATGGTCGAAAGAAGAATTCCTGGAAGGTACATTATAAACTAGGTCTGCGGTTCGGCTACCTGCAATCGGTGACTTTCGGTGTAAATTTACAATGAATTTAGTGCCAAGAAAGTTATATTTTGTTCAAAGGTATAATAAGCGCAGCCAAAAGTGGTAATCATTCCCCCACCTCATGGAGACTACCCAGTAAACTTGCGTTTTCGGGGAGACACCTGAGAGACGCCACAGAAGAAGAGACGCCGTATAGAGTGTGAATTCGCTGTAACAGCTATATCTTCAACCGTGCTAAATATTTCTCTTTTGACCATTCGCTGGGAGGCATTTCACAAGAAAATTTAAACTTTATATAACTTGGCGAGCAATGTCCACAAAACCCATGGCTCTGACAATGTTATCGGCTCTGGCAAGTAGTCGGCTCTGGCCAGGTTAACAGTTCTGGCAAGTTGTCGGCTCTGACAAGGTTATCGGCTCTAGCAAGTCATCGGCGTCTATGCGGCGTCTCTTAGGCGCCGAACTTTTTGCGGCGCCACTCTCTATACGGGGTCACATTTTACACGGCAGCGGTGTACTTTCGTCAAACAGAATTGTATTGTACAAATGACACTCTGAAGGAAAGGAGGTGAAGGTTGTCTTTTCTAGCGTTAGGGGAAAAAAAGATGGCCCAATATTGGGGTGGGGAGACTCTGAATGCTTGGTTACTGGTGATGGTTGGCTACTGTTGATACTAAGGGTAGGTAATATAAATGGATTAACGTGTAAGAGTAAAACACTCAGAATCCAGTGGGCACCATCATATTGGGACATGATTCGGAATGACGGCGGAAGCCTTGCATCGGTCGGGGGTACAGGATGACGGCACAGAAGAATTTGAGACCACCCGAAGCGCCGACCGTGTGAAAAGTCGCCGCACGCGATGACCATTAAATTAGAAAGACCGGTTGGGCTAAATGCCCACTGTGCGAAATCCAATAAATCCTTCATAGAAATTAAGTCGGTTTTTGAAGAATACAGTACCTTCGTTGAGCCCAAGCCTAAGCCCAACATTTTGCGGGCATGAATCTAGAGTTCTAATATTGTACATTCATTTTAATCGAAGAAACGGATGCTCCATCAGTTCACCCGCCGTTTTTCTCTCCTCTGGAAGCCAAGAAAGCATCAGCTTTACAAACGACAAGAAGCGTTCTCTCTCCTTTTCTTCTAAGGACGGGAGAGTATCTGTGAGCTTTCGATCTGGGATCAAGTCATCATGTAAAAATTCGCCTATCGTGACTCATTAGTTTGGTGATAGTTTATATAGGATGTTTTAAATACCGTGTTTATCGAAAAAAGGGCCACCAAAATACTGCTCTGCACTTTCACAAACTTGACCGTCCCCTCTTTTTACAGGCTCAGGCCAATTATACCCCAACATCGACTGAGATCTTGCAATCAGCTCCGAAGGAGGGCGACCGAACAAGGCTATCATTTCTGCCAGATGCATCTTAGCATCATAACAGCCTTGTTTATCATAAATCTGGTGGAACAGTTCTTTGCCCTGCATGATATCCCAAAGCTGGAATGGTGTTAGCTATATAATGACCTAGCTGGGGAACATATAGCGCACAAGAATACCCAGGTTCCATATATCTGCGCTCGTTTTCCAACCACAGCCAAGGATAACCTCCGGGGCGCGGTAGTGGTCAGGCTGGATAGGGTAAATACCCCAGTCATCGCAACCGAGTCGGGTGGCTAGTCCAAAGTCAACAATTTTCGGTATATTTTTTACATTCCTCAGTGGCCCAAAATCATTGTGACAGCGATAAACCGGTCGGCCTGTGGTGTCAGTTTTGTATTGCATCGGTTGATCAAACTGGGAATTCATGAAGTCGCCAAGCACAGAGGGATCTTCAAACGTGACCATAATATTCTCAAGTTTTAAATCTACAAGACAGGTTATAAGCCAATATCACTAGTTTGGTCAGAGAAGTGCATACCAGTATGGACAACCTTGCATCCTGTATGAAGGTAATCAAGGCCCGCAAGAAGAAAACGTATGTAGGTCTTGATAATTGGGAGGGGGATCCTTCCATCTTTAAAACGTCTCTGGAAAAGCCACATTGGCTCCCTCATAGGCTCATATGCTAGGCATAGATGTCTTCCTTCCGGACCCCTGACCTCAAAGTATTCCGAAGATGTTCGAAAGAGCGGATAGCCGCGGTGGGAAGGATCCATCTTAGCAATATGGGCCTCAATTTCGCGTTCATCATCAGTTGCATGCTTGTTTGTGTTGGTTATCTTCAGTGCTACAACACTTTCCGGTTCTGATTCGTATCTAGACAGTCCCTTAGCAACGGCCACCAGCTATTGGACGAAAGCAACATTACCCCCGCATATCACGGGCAAACCATACGGTAGAGGAAACTCCCCAGCCAACCTTGACAAGGACTTGATAGCGATTGGCGAGAACCTCTCCAGGCTTTGCTGGGTAGAATTTCTTGGAATTGTAGCCTGGGCAGATCTCCTCGTCAACAGTCTCATCTTGGGGTAAAAGAGGCCCCGGAGGAGGGGTAGGAAGAGGTTTTCTGCGAAGCGAGGAGAACACGCGCGTCCTTGTATTTCTTATCGACTTCATTATAAGTTGCATCTCAACGTGGTCTCTCTGTAATGGAGACAGCGGCGACCATATATGGTTGAACAACACGAAGGAGAGAGAAAATGGAAAATATAAGGGGGGCGGAGGAGCCAAATGCTGTAGATAAAACATCTTTGTAAACATCACGTGATTTAAAGTATGATGTCATTGATTGTACTTCCGACTTATCTTTGAACAAAGGAAACATTACTTCCAACCACAGCCTTTTTGCCGTTATTTGGTGGCTAAATATTTCCTTTACAATTACAAGAGCGCAGGAACGTATTTCAATTTCCCGACTAACAAACAAATAAACAAACTTAAAGTTCCTCGATGGAGAGTTCAGACGGAGTAAAATAACAGACAGAACCTCCTTTGCTCCAACCCCCCTGGCTCAGCCTCATACGGAATGGTATACCTTATCAGGACCCTAAGCCAACCTTAACATCTTATGCCCCAAATTGTTTGCATGCCCCCTCACTTCTTACCAGACAGTCCTGACTTCGAATCGGACTGAGTGGGCTGCGAATCAGGCTTCGAGGTTGTAGGGCCCGCTGGAGGTATAGCAGGGGCTTTAGGATGCGGCGGCAGCTTTACAGGCTTGTATTTGTTTTCCTTAGAGAACTTAACATATCCGTTAGGATAACAATGCGCTGATGTGAGGCGCTGGCCGGCTTGGTTGTACAACTCCACAGATCCATGATAGGGGTCGTCGTTTCCGGGCGTTGGATGAGGGTTCCCGCTAACATCAGTTAGCTAGGACGTAAGCACGACAAGATGCGTTTTAGTTATGCTTACTTTACCTGCCCACTCACAACGCTCTCAAGTCCAGGAACTTGGTCGATACTATCATCCATTTGTTCAGTCAGCCATGTGACATCTACCGACGTTCCCTTTAATTTCCAGTCGAGCTTTTTCATCCGTCTAGCACCGGTCGAGAATGCTCTGGACGCCATGTTTGGTAAATAGAAGAAAAGTGATATTTCGTTTATAATAGCAAGGTATCTTCTGAAGATTGAATGAGTTACAGAAGAGAAACTGAGGCCGGTTTGGCCCGCCTTTTATATGTACAGCCAGTAAAGAGAATGCTTTCGCGTCCGTCTTATAATCTTTAACGGGATAATGAACCTCGAGATCCAGTGGGAAAGGGCCAGGACAAGGAATTGGTTAGTTCCACCCCGGCGCTTCTCGAGAAACGAATTACATGGGTGGCCTCTAGCGCTCTATTGTCCTAACCGATGATATGGTTATATGAGTGGATTGTTATTAAACGCTGGTATTGTCCGTTTGAGCCTTGTCACACTTCTACCTTTCTGCATGATCTTATTGGGTGAATCATCGAGGCAAATTGGTGGGGAGAGCGAGTCGCCAGCACCAAGCTAGGCACCAATATCCATATTTAACTGGGACAGGAGAACTGCATCCAATAAGACCAGAGCCTGCATCGTCATCAACAACTATTGGACAGTTTCGTATCTTTGTACCCTTTATTTAGCTGTAAACGAGGTTCCAGTAATGATATTGCGACAGATGGGTCCTATCTTCGGGCTTGTGGCCAATCTTTCATGCGCTAGGATCATGTAGCACTGATTGTGATCGCCAATATTGATCTGTCTAATAGGAAAAGAAAAGTACCTTTGTTCGCGTCCGCTTTGACTTTAGACTACAAACCTGAAAGCTGGGTGGGCTGTGTGATATGTTCGGTTGGTTATTGCTTGTTCTGGCACATTCCTGCCTATTATTGCTCGAAAATGCACGTCGACAGTCAAATAACTTCGTTTTCTCCTTGAAGACAAGGCTGTGACATTACCCTCAATAAGTCTGGCGGCTAACTAGCACATATCATTTGTCAACGGGGCTTAACTTTAGTTAGCTACCTGCACTAGCCTTATAAAACACCCGTTGCTGCCCACCTCTGCCCACCTCTGCCCACCTCTTCCCTTTCCCATGCTTCCCAGCTCATAGGAGCTATTCCTTCCTTCTCTCCACTTTTGTCATTATGTCAACTTCTAATGGAACAGTAATACATGTACTGGAAGATGAAAGGAAGAAATTTGAACAAGATAACTATACACCACACGCACGCCATATTCGGCGATGCAGGTCTTATTGTCAGCTTCTGAAAATCGATGCTTCACATCTTGCCTCAAAACCACGGCAAACACGCGATCGACTGTCAAATACAAGGCACAACCTGGGATTAATTTTGGAAAGAAGTGCTGAGATATTCATACTGCGCTGTTTGAGTGAGAATAGTACTAAAATTGGCTCAAAACGAGAGTATGGCCTTGTCCCCAAGATTATGGCCTGGTGGGCGCGTGTGCCGCATCCGCAAAACTTGAAAAATATGGCATTTGATATTTGCAGAGAGTTTGACCTACAATGTCCTTCTGAAAAAGATGGACAGTCACATGTATCAGGCAGTGCCAAAGCTGCAAATCCTACTCTCGTTGTCGATAATGAACCCAATACAGTTGCAACAAAAGCCTACGAAGTCCCTCCGTCCCACGAGCCATGTTTGTGCAATTCTACGTTTGATACTAGAAGACACATTTCGTATGTTCAGCTTCAGGGTAAGACTTTTGGTATGCCGGTACCATTCAGGGGCACTGTCTAGAAGCTAACAGTAGAAGACCAAACCAATTTACCTTCGACGCAGTCCCTGCCAAACACTTCAGTTCCACATAGTACGCAAAAATCATATTTGCTACTGCAAAAGCCGTTGCTCATTCTGAGTGTGTAGGTACCGGCCTGATCCCCCGACCAGACCAGCCTCTGCGATCGGTAATGTCTTTCCAAAAACCGGAATTACTCGGTTTCCTCGACTCACCATACAATGTTTGGGAAACAAGAGCGCTAGCGAAATTCCTCCCAGAAACTTGTTCGGGCATGCGAATGGTGATGCCATGGACTGGTACACCTTTACCCACCATCGAACTACGGTTTGAAGTATCAATGGAATTCAGTGAAGCCTTCATGAAATTCCGACAGTCTAGGCTGAACGATGAAAATACCGTACAGAGGGCTGTCCATAGAATCGACAGCTCTGGCCTGGGTTCAGCACAATAAGCCACCAACCTGCGCCACGATTCGCTCCTGTCATCACAATATCCAGTTGATTTCCGTGAACATATACTGCACCAGCAGCACCATCTATTCGAACGAGTAAAGCACAGGCTGTGTCCCAATCCACAGAATCTAAATCGTGAACTTCAACATTATTTGGGGCCAACCGCACATCGTTGCCAGTCAGTTCCTTCACTTTTCTTTCAAGTAACCTGTCATCATGCGCAATATCATCTACCCGATATTTCTGTTCATTATTTGTTCCATTCGCACTATCAGCCATTGCTGCTGCGGGGGGTGGCCCCTTTGGATAATTTGGGGAAAACAGAAAGCCGATGAAACTCGTGGAAGCACCCTTTGACAGAAAAGGCTAGAGCGCAAGGTTGTTGTCGAGGTGTAGAGTAAGGTTTTCGCAAATATTCTTTCCTTTCCAGGATGGTAGGTTAGCCACGTATGAAATTGGACTAGATGATTTTCCCTTACATAAGATAACAAGTACCAAGAAGAAAAGGTACGCCCGACGAAGTTTACGGTATCGATTTCTAACAATATCGGTTCAGATAATCGTCTCGAGTATCTTCTCGGGCTAGTCAGTGTAAGCAACCTTTGTTGTCGGGGATGGGGCGAAAAATGGCGATTGTTTTTATGTAGTTGGAAAACGTTCGCAGCGATTGTAGGAGTTTGATAAAAGGGCCTGTCTAATATGAATACATTTTTCTTCAAATGAAGCATAATCTAGATAACCCACTGGGCCTGACATTGTCCGAAATCTTTTTGCGGGTGCAGAGGGTGGCTTCGTAAGGAGGGGCACTCTCTAGCCCCGCCAAGTCGGTCCGAACATCACTTGGGCAGAAAATAAATAAAGGCCAAGTTTATACCACGTGATTTTCATTGGACGCTTATTGCGGGACTGAAAGTACAGTTGACTATTCACTACAATCTATGACAGATTAACGGAAGGAATTACCCTACCTCCTGGTTATGCATGAGGACAACATGAGATAGAATAAGGTGCTATTGCGATTACTTCTGCATAGTTGCTTGGATCCACCCATGTATTTCGATCACTCGGTTATTCTTCAAACATTACCGCCTACATCCGCCCATTTCTGCCCATTCTTGTTTGCACACTACTCACATTACCCATTAGTGCCTAGTTTTCCATATTCTATGGATGGAGTTGTCTCAAGAAACTTGTATCCATCAAGATGCGCTCGAGCTCTCCATCCCGCCAATCTGTCGATCTGGTACGGTCTGTCCGTTCTGTCTTTTTTGCCCACATCTTACTGCCGAAAGTGGCAGAAGGAACCTCAGGACCAGGACTGATATCAGATAGCGCGTTGCATTATATAAAGGCACCAGCCTTGTCCCAACTGCTCACCGCAATTTGGCACAGACCAGTACATTTTTATTCACCGATTAGGCATCTTTGTTGTGCGTTTTGTCGAACCATGCCTTGGTTTAGCACCTTACTCCGCTGCTTGGGAATGCGCAAAGAACCAGGTGACCTGACGTCTTTCTCTGGCGAGATGCCTCCTTTTGAGGCGAAGAAAAAGCCTGTGAGTATTAACAATTAGGTAGCTAGCACCTGTCTAATTGATTCTGCCGGCAGACAACTGGTGTCAATTATATCAATGGGGAGAACGCCTTGACTGAAAACTGTGTGGAGACCAAGCGAATTGACGACCTGGGAGGCTGTGGCTCTGATCAGAATACGAATGACGAGGCCATGCCGAGGCCAAGGGCATGGCCACCTACAGTGAATCCGACCAAAGTACTCTCGTCGAAAATACCGATACAGAGAACCCGGACCATGAGCCCTCCTATGGGTCCGATCAAGGCACTGTCACCGAAGGAAATATCGATGTAGATCTCACCATGGTCAGGAACGATGAAATCTTTCCTCGTCCATATGTCGATGATTCGACCGGTAAACGTATGGTCGAACTGGTCCAATACACTACAGTAAGCCTTGACCATTGTGGTATCAGTGGGATTGAATCTCGTCAACCAAACTCCGATCAAGATGAGATTGAGGTATTGTTTCACCATGCGGGTGATAAATTTTGGGTATACGTTCCGTACGGATATGTCAAGAACCGAGATTGCTTTAAATGAATTCTACCGGCATATTGACTATATTCGAGATGATTATTTGCTGCTGCTCTTTTTTTTTTTTTTTGGGGGGGGGGGGTGTACATAGTACGTACGCATTGACCGAGCTTCTAGACTAGTTCTGTGGCGGTCTATGTAGTTCACAGGAAATAGTTGGTTAGGATGGACTCCTTGGATATATAAGCCAAAGAATCTCCTCTAGAATCATATGCATCTCAATAACTATGGGCACCCTTCTCTTTGTAGCTATATCGCTCGCGCTGGCATTGTTAGGACTTTTTCTAATACTCTCCCTCCTACGTCCGTTTTTCGAGAATAGGTACTTCCCTGATCTCGAATCAGCTGTGATTGCTCGCCACCTGCATGTCGATTAACATGAGCCCAGTACATTCTTCTAAAACATTGTTGGAAAGCCAGTTGCTGATTCACTAGAAGAACAGAAAGCGTCATAATACCGGTGCAAAAAGGGAGGAGCTCCTTCCAAGAAAGGACAAGGACTTTCCAAACGCGCATGGGACTGGTTCACATGAGCCCCAGAATAGTTTGGACAATGCATGGCTACGTGGGAAGTATAAAAGAGCCGGAGATGACCCGCAAAGCAGTTGGGTAAAGAGATCACCTCATATGCGTCCGAAACGATTCTGTTGTGCATGCAACGAGACAGTGGCGGTAGCGGGCTCTGCGGGCCTCTTCTGTCGATGTGGCCATGAAAGCTGTTTGTTTTGTTTGGTTGGAATAATGTGAGTAATCTTAGCTAGCGCCTCCCTGGAATATTACTAGGTCAAGGATGTACAACGACGTGAATAGGGACAAGGTTCAGCCTCAATGCTCTGTCGGAGTGGAAACTTTACATGACTTTTTAAGTAGTACCTCAGCGAGGATCAGGGGTCCTTAGTAGGATCGGAGTTTGCTGGAACTCACCATTTGGGCTTTACCTAGGGGATAGGAACCCCAGGACTGGCTTATCATAATAGACGAGTGGATCGTAATGCGTGGGGCCATTGACGAGTTAATAGTTGGTTGCTTACATTTTCTGTAGATACGGCATTGAGCCCTGGCTGAGCTCTGGCTGAGGAAAGAGTATCACGCCCCACTTCACGGACCTGAAGAGTTCTTTATTCAACGATTGGCGGCTCACTCGGATTGGAAACATCTCCCTGGCGCTTGTTGGACTGACCAGAAATGTACCCACAGCTGGTAAATTTTGGCCACTGATTGGCCGCACAGGAAGGAGAAGCCCCAGAAAATACCCTCGGCGATACTGTCCTCACTCACGGTCCTCCTTGATCAATGCATCTATGATTCCCAGCAAGAACCAGTTCAACCAGCACCGCCCCGCACATGTTCCTGTCACTCAAGCTTTGCCGACCCTGGCCACCGCGACGAGGATAAGGCATGTGAACCACGTGATGCACTTGATCGGGGTGAAAATCCAAGCCCTAGGGAAACTAATGTTCCAGAGTGTACTGTAAATAATGGGACAAATAAAGGCGAGTCAGCTGTAACTGACCAACCTTTCTCGTCCTCCGCAACTTCGTGCCGTTGTTACCCCGATACCTACGGGGTTCGCAGGAGTGCCGACTGAAACCAGCATATTATTTTACCTTCGTGCCGGGCGCTAGTCCGATGTCATCTCCCCCCCGGGGTTGATATTTCAGGAAAAGTGTGCGGTCGGTGCTCTTCGCGATGTGAAATGATCCCCCGAATCGTTCGATTGCTTGAAGATTCTCTCTTCCGTTCTCCTATTAAGCCCTGTATATGAAAAGAAAAGAAAAGAAAATAAAATGGCAAAACCCATTACAACCTAGGTATCGCTTTCATAGTGCATCATTCCCGGCCTAGCACTTTTAGGAATTCTCACCACTGGAGGGAAACGAACCATTGATCTCCATCTGATCCGGCAAGAAAGAATCTAAACGAGTGAACGCCCAATAACAAATATCCAAGTGATAATCTCTGAGGGTTTTCCTACTTAGAAACGGCGAACTAGGCTTAAATCTCCAGCGGTGTGATAGCCGAATGGAAGCTTTCCCGCTTCCGATGACATTCGCACCCCATCAAGATCACCTTGATAGGTGTACTTCAATGCTGCAGCTACAATTTCGACAGTGGACGGCCGGTTAATGCGGAAATACTGACTGACCACTGTTCGGATGATGACGCAGATGCAACCGAATATGGACACCGCAGCACCTAGTTTGAAGGTGCGAGACTTATCTCCGTATGACCAAACACGAAACCGTCTAAACGCAGGGAGTAGTGGATGCGCCGCATCTTCGGTTATTGTTTTTGAGGCCTCAGTGTCATTCAGCACAGAATAGTCAACCAGGGTCAGGGCATGCTCGAGTACACTGGTATGAAGACCGAAAAATCTGTCCATGATTTTCTTAAGTGAAGCTTGCTCTTCTTGTGTTTTGGGTGGTTGAGTATCAGCTACCTCTTTAAGTGAGACCATTATATCTGAAGCTGCTGGTCTTTTGGCATCGACGATACCAGATGGAGACACAGACCACGCGGCGAGTATCCAGTCTGGATGTAAGAATATTCCGCTGGCCGACACATTGCTAGGAATCTCCATCGTGACAAGAGTGCTGTTTATTTCTGATGGTGTTATGCGCATGTTGTAATCGGGAAAAGTGAGATAGGTGTTCTGTCGGCACAAGATTGTAGTATTCAAGGATAACGATTGTGGGAGGGTGTATTCAACTAGCTGCTCATTTAGAGTGGAATTTGCAGATTCTGGACTAGGGTCAGAAAACATCCGATCCCAATTGCAATTGTCGCTGCTGCTTTGCAATTCGACAATGCAATGCTCATCCCTAATATTAGGGACAAGAGATCGGTCGACAGAATAAACGTCCACGGAGACATTTTCTACCAGTGGAATGTCCGCTCTCCCAAAAGAAAAACTTGACCGTGCAAATCTGGCTGCTGGCCAACCAGGACCGTTGCGGATGCATGTGAAAACAGACTCCCCAGGGATATCGGAATATGTGCCGTTGTAGCACCGCACTGACTTTGTGCTTGAAAGTGGTATGTTAATTATGCTGGCTGTCACACAGAAACCAGCATATCCTAGACTGGGGCCTTTGCGATGGATCTCAATATCAATAGAATTTCGGTAAAGGTCGAAGACTCGCTTCTCTAGAGGTCGGGATAAGGAAGCATTCGCTTTCTGGAAGCTGTCCTTGGATTTGGAGTAGAAAACCTCGCCGTAGTCTCGATTGACTTTTTTCGCGAGCTTTCTGTTAGGCGTCCATCTGATACTCTCTATATGTCGGTCCACATTGATTGAACTATTTGGTCTGAAGGCCAAATTGTTGATCACGAATATCTGATCTGAGTACCTGTATTTGGATAGCTGGTTGCGCCATCGGGCTCCGGCTAACATTTCATCCAGGTTCGCTGAAAAGTAAAGCGTGCACGTATAATTGCGCGCTGCTAAGGCTGATTCTTCGCAGTCAGGAGCAATATTGGCATACTTGGGCGGTTCAGAAGCTGCAATATCCCCAAATGTCCGTGTGGAGGAAACGCTGTCATCTGACCATCCAAGAGTGGGAATAGCGAGTACTGCGGTTGCAGGTCCCATTAAATTGGACGCAATACATGCCATAGTAACAAAAGCAACAAAGGCCCAACGTCTTGATGCTTCGCGCCAGCGAGATTGACCTTCGAAATTTCCCGAAGACTTCCAGAATGTTGGATTCAGGAGAGTTGTGACGTCAGTGAATTCTATATAGGTCATAAAATATCCCATCGGAAGACCTGTACTTTTCGCTAGTAGTATAGCTAGGTCCAGCACGAGGCTACTAACAACAATAGTAAACCAGACGTCGAGTGCCTTAGCAACTATCTGTAGAGCTCCCAATATCTCGTGATCCTTGTCGTCCATCAGCTTGATCTGCGACTGAGAGTTTTGCCCCCAAATATTACAGTCGTTTTTGAAAGATGGGATACGACAAGCAACACCAGCTCCGATAATCCAGTTCTTGAAATTTAACAAGAGTAAAATGACAACTGGGGCAATCCAAGTAAGACAAAAGAGGTCGAATAACAACCGCGATGTGATTCTGGCGTGACGAATGCCTTTATGTTTTTTGTCTGCGTCATACTGGTCGCAGTTTCCCGATGAGCGGAACTGGATGTTCAAAGGTATCTCGGAGCCATTCTTTTGTCCATAATCAGACGCCATATCGCCCAAGGCTTTGAAGGAAAGGAATCGAGCTCGAAATTTAGGAGATACTCGCAGATTCCTATGACAATTAATGCAGAAATAGAGTATAAATATTTGTAGGAAGCTAAGGTTGCTGTCACTAAGGTCATGACTGCCCAACTCGCATCCCGCATACAACCCAACAGAGAAGCCCCTAGCCCAGGGGGCAACAAACAACTATAATCCCTGCCGACCGTGGGGGTTGGGATTGGTTCAAGAGTGAAATTGTCGTGAATAAAAAGAAAGCAGGTGAATTAAACACATCGGTCTTATGATAGGCTATAAGTGCAGATCCCCTCAGCTAATAATTCCCATGGCCAGACTACACAGTAAGCCCCATTTGCCGTATTTAGGTTCATGAAAATAAGCAAGTCAGCAAGCCACTTAATAGTTCATAATAGTCTGGGCGGTTCAAGATGCTATATCATTCTGGTTGGCGCGACGGAAGAGGTCTGAGTGATAGAACAAAGAAAATAATTGGTTCTAACCCGCAGACCACTATCCTATTCAGGTTAAAAGATTTCTAGCAGGCAGCTGCCGCAAAACAAGTTAGCTTGCCCCACATAATATCCACGAATCCTATATTGTCTCAGATCTGAAATCCACGAAGTCCACAAGCATCACCAGTAACCAAGCATCACCAGTAACCAAGCATCACCAGCTCTCTATTGGGTGATCTTAAAAATAGTTCACCTCTCCTCAGAAAAGCCAGGTTGATTGATAGAAGATGAGGCTAATCTTTTATAGATTAGCGCAGGGAATATGATCATAGCCTCACGAGGGACTAATTCCAAAGATATTACGATGGCAAATTCACTAGTCTCAACAGTCAGCCAACATCATCGTCTCCACCAAAGCGCCGCGGCGAAACGAACTTTTGTGTAAACGGTCGGCAAGCCAAAAAACGCGCCCCTAAGAATTACTCCCGGAGACATACTTCAAAGACAACTCGAGATAGTGCGAATCCCCCGGCCCGGTGCCACAATAGTGAGCAAATATGTACTGATCGCAACGACTCAAGATAAAGTTTCTTGAATATGCCTTTTATGTAGCCTGCATCCTGTGGTACCCTATTTTGTCTTTCTTTTTAGGGTCGTACTCCAGTATACTTGGATTGAACCCGGACTCCTTCCCGAATACTGATCTGAGAATAACCTTATCACCTCCGACCAAGGTCGTTTCTCGTCCCTTCTTAACTTCAGCAGAAGATCCACCTCTTCCGTAGACCATGGCAGGCCCTTCCTGGACTGCTGTTGGGTCTCGCTGCGATCATGCTGAGATTGCGAAGTTCGACTGTCAGAGCATAACGACTGATCAGTAGGCATCTTAGAAGGTGATGGTAAAGGCCTTCTCTCATCGGCGTCTTTGCTGTTTCCAGACCGAGATCTGGCCTTGCGGCGTAATTTAGTTGAGTAGTGGACTTGGAGGGCTGTCGCTTGTCGGTCAGGGAAGTGTTTAGCAATCGCTGCCCATGGCATTCCCTCCCTTTCCTTCAGCCTCACCAGTAGCGCATTTTCGTCCGATGAATACGGTCTCTGTTTTCCTGGGATATCGGCTGGAAGGGGGTGAGATGACATCGAACTGGCGTCGGGCACGAAGGTAAAATAGTATGCTGGTTTTAATCTGGAAGCATGTTGGACCGTGAGGAGGGCACTCCCGCGGACCCCGTAGATATCGGGGGAACAATGGCACGAAGCAGGGGCTGAATCGCCCAGCGGATGAGAAAAAGACTTGCCCGCAGCTCTTGGCTTTATCCGCCGACTTGGCCGTTCCGGGTTAGGGGATGATGCATCCGGATCCCCGTGGTTGCCGCTGCCGCCTCGACTTGAACGAAGCCGCTTCTTGCACGCCGCTGCAGCGGCCCTGGTGCTTGCCCTTGTGACTCTTCCTTGCTTCCATGAAGGCGCTGGCACCACAACAGCTATCGACGGGGAGCGTACTGCGCCATCCACAACTGTCGCCGTTTGACCACCGGAATATTTTGGGCTAGAGCATCTAGACGGCTGGGTAGATCGGCTAGATGTAGTTAAGTCATCCTCAGCTGCTCTATTATCTTTAGTTGTTCCGACATCTTCAGCCCGCCCTGGAGCATCGGCTGCGCTTGGGCGTGGATTTTCACCCAGATTAAGTGCATGACATGGTTCAAATGCTGTATTCTTGTCGCGATGGCCGGGGTCGACAAGGCTTGAGAGACTGTTCCCTGAGCCGGGCGGCGCTGGCTGGTCAGGTTCTTGATGGGAATCACTGCAGATAGATATGCTGCTAGGGACATCACTGTTTTGTTTGGATACGGTTACACACGATGCGGATAAGAGGTGAGGAGTTCCCACTTCCACATCAGGAAGAGCATCTGGAACATGTCAGACAAAGAGGTCGATACCCGACTATTATACAACGTTTGTGCCCGCTTACCCGATGAGCTATTTTCCTGTACGTGGGGAGTAACATGGTCCAGCTGGTCTGTAGTTAATGCTGGTGTTACGCAGTCTTCAAATGCCACTGGCTCTGAAAGAGATAAAGGATCACTTCCAAGATCTAATGAAGCGTCAAGAGTAGCAAGTATATCTGTGGTCACCACGGGTTCGGTTTCTATCATCTCAACGTCAAACGCATTCCAAGCATGGTTTATAGCAGTGGAGGGCGGCTCCTGTTCTAGAGGTGCCGGATACTCTGGTATATTCATCGGTCCCTGGACAAAGGCGGACCTAGTGGGAAAAGAACACTGGAATTGTGTAACATAAGTAGGTGGCCGCTTCTCACTGGTAGAGGGCGGTTGGCCGCTTGGGCCATGATAAAACTCGATTTGATCAAGATTCGCCCACATAATTCCCAAAAAGCCGAAAAGGTACAGCGGGACTGAGTTTCGATGGGTACAGCAGTCGTGGGCGAGAAGAGCCTGGTCGTCCCGTAACATATCCAAAGTAAAGGGAGAAGGGTGGAGGACAGCCGGCCTTTATAGGACCAAGGCGCTACCAAATTATCGTAGTCTTTCTACAACCGGAGGTCCGCGATCCCCATTTCCAGTCGACTCCGGTCCTCGCTCATGTCCGGTGCGAGTTCGGGTGCGTGTCGAGCGTGCGGCCGGACTGTCTCGGCAAAAGGGGCTTGGGATGACCGCATCCACAGGGCTCCTCTTCCTTGACCGCGCAACAGCCTTCAAGACACCCCAGCTGATGATTCAGAATAAGGGAAAGATCAACCAAAAAAATTACCTCTCAGCCATTGACAGCACACTACTTGCAGGCTCCTCAAACCATCGAGCCCCCAGTTGATCAAAAGCCTCAGCTCGGCCGCAGTGTTGCATGAGGCATTTTTGCGGTTGGTTATGGATTTGAAGCGGACCCAGTGACCAACTCCGCAAGTAAACAGGTATGTTCAGCCGAAGGTCGATTCGGGGAGTGGCACCATACTTGGAATGTTGCGTTACATTGCATTGGCAAACCGAAGCCAGGGGTAGAAGAAACGACAGGGATTAGTACTACTTCGCCTTCCCCCTATTCCATCACTGTATGTCTGCCGTGTGAGACAGGGCAACAGGCGAAAAGCGAAATAATGTAGACCTGAGGGGGACTAGATTATCAAACCCTTGTCCAAGCCCCAAGGTGACCAGCCAAACCCCCAGCAATAATGCAAAAAAGAGGAAAAAACAGCCGTTTATGGATTGCAGTGGAAAACGAAGGGCCCCCCGAATCGTACAGGACAGGCAATCAAGGCAACCCCGTGTCCCTTGAAACACAAGGCCCATTCATTCAATTCCTTTTTCGCGGGTGGAGAAGGGGCTGTGTCGTCGGTGCAGAATTTTCAGCTGGCAGGGGCCCAATTCAGCCGACCGAGGAATCGTTGCTGCCTAGAACTCCAGGGGGAATGAATTCAGGGGGAGGATGGGGGGGGGGAAATGTTGGAAACAAGAGAAATTGTCGTTGAGCGACGCACCGCGGGTTTATATAGATGGCGGAGGACGCATGGCGGGCGGTGGAGGATGGCAGATTCCGTTCGGGGCTAGTACTACATACCAAACCCGATAAGGATACGCTAAACCATAAAAAGATAGCACTATACTGGATTGGGCGCGACGGACGCTGGCGCCAAACCCAAAGGAGGGGGCGGCCGAAAAGAGCGTCGGCCCAGCAAATCGCAAATCTACTATTATACTATTTAGGCTAGCTAATACCTTAGCTACATTCCAGTCCTATATTAATTATGTATTAAGCAACCTACTAGACTATTACTATATTATTTATCTGGATAATATTTTTATATACTTGCAGAGTAAAAAAAAACATGTTAAACATGTTACTATAGTTTTAAAAAAACTATAATAATTTAGGCTATACACCAAGCTAAGTAAATACTTATTTTATGTGAAAAGTGTGGAATACCTGGGATTTATTATTATATTTTTAGGTATTTAGATGGAGGAAAGCCGTGTGGCTATTATCTAGGCTTGGCCAGAGCCAACAACCGTGCGAGAGATTATAATATTCCTGGGATTTACAAATTTTTACAGGTATTTTATTAAGGGTTATTCCTGCATTGCATTACCGCTGACCCAGCTTACCCGAGGGGAGCAAGGGGGGAGGAGTAAAAAGTAATAGTTCTTAAACCAGCACCTTAAGCTATCTAAGAATATAAGAGTTATATTTAATAAACTAAAAAGTGTGTTTTCAAGCGCACCATTACTATCTTATTATAACCCTAGGAATAAAACCAGGGTAGAAACAGATGCATCTGGTTTCGCTATAAGTATAATAATCTCCTAATTATAAAATAATAATAAGTGGCATCCTATAGTATTTTTCTCACGAAAAATAACTAATTCTAAACACAGGTATAATACGCATGACCAAGAGTTGTTAGTAATTATTAAAATATTTAAAGTTTGGCGATATTACCTTAAAAGGAGCAGGGAATTAATAGTAGTAAAGTTTAACTATACTAACCTAAGTAGTTTTATACAGCCTATATTAAAGCAGCTTAATAAATATTAGGCAAGATAGGTTAAGTTACTAAGTATATTTAATTTTTATATTAAGCACCGACCTGGGGTAAAGAACCCTGCAGATATGCCAAGTAAAAGGCTAGATTATTTACCAAGTATAAATAAAATAAGTAATGTGTTACTGCTTCCTATATTATAATTAAAATTAAAATTAGCTATAGGCAAGAGTTATTAGGATAATATACCTAATAAGTTAAAAACTGCATGGGCAGGAATAATAGCGCTGGACACCAAAGGCAGGTTTAAATAATTAAATAAAATAAGCTTTAATATATATATCTCTATAGGGAGTATGCATGCCTATATAAATAAAAATATATTTATAAATAAAAACTATACTACCAGTGTTACTAGAATTCTAGATACCTAGGTGCCATGGATCTATATCCGCAAGGTTATTAAATCTAAATTAGCTTACTCCAGTATTAAAAAGTTTATAGTAACTATTTATATAAATTATACCAAGAGAATCGCAAGGTACGCGATATTAAGCAAAAAGTTAATTATAAGCTAGGGGACTATAATAGTCTAGCCTGGGGAATTGGCGAAAATAGCTTACTTAGGTACCAAGATTATATTTATATACCCAGAATTCCTGCGGTAACACATGAAATTATAAAAGCAAATTATAATAATTCTTAAAAAAATATTTTAGAGGAAAACACATCTTGGAAGCTGTTAAATATAAATATTATTAGCATGGTATGCGTGGCGATATGCTGGATTATATAAAAACCTATAATATTTATTAAAAAATTTAAGTACATAGACATGTACCTTATAGCAAGCTAGAGCCTTTACTAATACTAAAGCAGCCTGGGAAAGTACTAACTCTTAATTTTATTACTAGACTACCGCCCAGTTTACCGAGTATATTTACCAGCCCAGGGGGCACAGAGAGTTATAATATAATATTAGTAGTTATAAATACCCTAATAAAGTTTGCACTTTATATTTTTTATAATAAAAATATCTCGGCGCCAGAACTCGCATATTTAGTTTATTAAAAGGTGGTACCTATGTTTGGTAATCCAAAGTAATAGGTATTAAACAGGGGCTTGCTGTTTACTAGTAGCTACTAGTTAATACTATATATTACCTAGGATTAAAGAAAACTATCTACTGTTTTATCTGCAAACAGATAGTTAAAAAAACTAAAACTAAATATTAAAGTATTACCTGCGAGCCTATTAAGTTTCTTGAAATAATTAGGTTAACTAGCTACTAATAGCACAAGTTATATATAATACTGCAATTTATTTATCACAAAAACAAGCCTATATAAAATATTAATAGGCTTTGTTCCTAGCCTAAAAATTAATATTAATTCTAATCCCACTGGCCATGCGCTAGCAGCGTTGGAGTGTGTAATATAGCTTAAAAAAATAATTCTTGGTTAAGGATATACTTAAAAAGGTGCAAAAAGCTATAGCAAGGTAATATAATAAGTATTAGATTAACAGATAATTTAAGATTAGTAATTAAGTTATACTACAGGCAAAGAATATTTTTATAATACAACCTAATATAAAATTAAACTACTACTAGCTAGGCCTATTTTCTATTATTAATATATAGGGAAACTAATTATACAAGCTTTAGCTACCACTAAAATATTACTATTTGTATCCTATTTTCCATGTGTTTTTATTAAAGCTATATTATAAATAACCGGGTTAATAGAGCCGACCCCCGCCAATACTAATTAATAGCGAAGAGGAGTGGGAAGTTAATTAAATTCTAAAGAAAAAACATGACAAGAGTGGTAACATAAGCTATTTAGTGTAATAAAAGGGCTATCTACCTAATAATAATACCTGGGAACCAAGATTACATGTTAAAAACACTAAAGCCCTGGATATCTAGCTTACTAATATAGTACCTATTACCTGACAATATACATGCTACATGGCTAAAAAGAAAATAGCATTTTATTTAACTAAGATAAGATAGCGCAACAGCCCAATAATACTAACCTCCCACCTGAAGAGATAACTTAACCCTTAAAGGGGAAAGGACCGCATTAATAAAACAACCCAGGCAACTGGGAGTCGCAGGAACAGGAGCCATGGGCGAATGCGATAAAGTATATTTAGGGATAGGTATAAATATACTATTATTTATATATAGTATTTAAGGTTTTTAAACTATATATCTATACTCCCTTACTAGCCTAGCTACCCTCTCCTGCGCAGCAGGGCGATAAAACTAGGGAAGTCTAATAAATATATAATATTTAGTAACTATAAAAATAGCCAAAGGACTAGCAGCAACCTCCGGAGCAACACAAAGGGTGTCGCTGGCCAGTATAATAAATATAGTTTAAACAACCTGGCAAGAAAATATATACTAACACAGTATCTCGCTCTAAATAAACAAGGCAACAGTGGCACCAGGGACTACCCCCTAGGCCAAAGGCAAACTATTCGTATTAACATAGACCGGCGCAGGGGTAGTCTGCACCTGGACAACCGAAGCTGCTAATAAAAACAAAGGGGGCGATAAAACTTTTGTATAAATTAGTAATATTACCTTATATAAACGCACCGGACTTACTAGACATGTCTAGAGAGGGTAATTCGACTTTGTCCAGCTCTACCAAAGCAGGAGAGAATGGAAATCCCTCCTATTCTAGTAAAACTAAGCAGGGTGCAGGTGTGAAAACGACATTGTTTTTAAAAAAT